GGACACGCTTGCGACAACCCCTCCGCTTTAATATCACGAGCACAAACAGAACTTAACGGGGACTGTGTCATTTTCAATGACTTGTTGCAAGGGGATACATCTTTCTTTGATTTCTTTCAAGTTCAAAAGAATACAAGGCAAGAAACGTAAGAAGGAAGATATTCAAATAATTGACATTCAAGAAGATCATTCTAGTTACAGTACTGCAGAGTGGTTGAAGACACACATCAAGGAAGATGATAAACAATACATGAGTAAACTTGTAAGCATCAGTCCAGTAGCTGGGTGGAATCAATCTGTCTGCCTGAATTAGGGAGAAAAACTGTGAGAAAAATTCTTACACAGTGGAGAATTAAACTAAATGGGCTTCCAAGCTTGTCAGTGTTGATTCTTAATTTTAATTATTAGTGCTTTTATGAGCAGTTACGCAAAATACTGTCTGCTGCATATTTTCCACTCAGTTATTATAGCCAACAAGAATAGAAAAAAACAAACATCAGCAATTCCCAGTGTGTTGGTTAACAGGTTTCAAAATAAATTTGTTTTGGGTAAAAGTGATTGTTGACAAAATTTGCATCAGGTTATGGGGATAAATTATTGATTTTGCAAAAAAAAAAAATTTCTAGCCCCGGCAACATATTGAATAGTAGCTTTGAATATCCATTCATTGTGTTTTAGTGAAGATATTTCTCTCATTGTACAAACTTTTCTTGTTCACAGAGAAATGAGGTATTGCCAACATCACAGCAGAGAAGAAAACATCAGATAACATATTTAGCACATCAGGTGAGCATTGAAATGCACATTATTAGGAATAAGCAGTCACCATGAATTGTGTGTATAGCTTCAGTTTTTGAATGATGCTACAAAACATTAATTCAGTTAATCTTATCACCTATAAACACTGACATTTCAGAGACTATTTTGTAGATGTGTCAGAATACATAATTTTATAATGCTATTATATGTCACCTGATCCTTGTATTGATACATCAACATTGCAAAATGGTAATGCCAATCATAAAACTGCCAATTTGGCAGTGATGTCTCTTTATGAAGACTACATTTTGAAAGTAAAACTTACTGTTGATCAAACCACAATGAAAGAACAAAGTTCAAATCATGTATATTCACAAATACTTTATTTTCAGGCAAAGGAAAGAGAATTGGAGCTGAAAAACTCATGGGCTGAAAACAAATTAACAAGGAGACAGACACAAGCCAAATATGGTTTTTAATTCCATTATAGGATGATATTTATGTGCATAAGCTGAGCTTCTACACACAGTGACTCGAACCATCAATCATGAGTGTATGGAAAGCTGATCACCTGACTGACATGTACAGCACTGATCACCTGACTGACATGTACAGCACTGATCACCTGACTGACATGTACAGCACTGATCACCTGACTGACATGTACAGCACTGATCACCTGACTGACATGTACAGAACTGATCACCTGACTGACATGTACAGCACTGATCACCTGACTGACATGTACAGCACTGATCACCTGACTGACATGTACAGCACTGATCACCTGACTGACATGTACAGCACTGATCACCTGACTGACATGTACAGCACTGATCACCTGACTGACATGTACAGCACTGATCACCTGACTGACATGTACAGCACTGATCACCTGACTGACATGTACAGCACTGATCACCTGACTGACATGTACAGCACTGATCACCTGACTGACATGTACAGCACTGATCACCTGACTGACATGTACAGCACTGATCACCTGACTGACAAGCATTGTACATGAGATCAAGGAATTCATACCTCAAACATTTTTTTCCAGACCAGTCTATAGAGGGACTGTGAATTGATAGTGTATATTAAGTGCACCATGATACTGGTTGTTAATATTGTCTCATCTTGAAATAAACGATTCATTTATTCATAACAAGTTCTTTTATTTATTATTATTATTATTAAACTTTATTTCAGGATAAGAGTAAATATAAAAATACAATGTCTCGTATCAGGAAACACTTAAAAAAACAAAACAACAAGAGCAACAAAGAAACATTATTGGCTTTGTATCAGTAGTTCAGTCCTGGTAATACATTTCCAAGTTTATTTATTTATTATATATTTTTGATTAAAGATGTTATTGTACTGAGTCTTTAAGGTAGTAGAACACAATCATTTCAATTTTTTACCTATTTTTAAATCACAAATTTTAAGTTAATTCAAGCATAGACCTTAGAAAACAGGGACATACTACTGTGGGCATCCCTTTGATGTAACCTTAGTTATAATCCTCTACCCAATTAACACCTCAGTGAAACTGACAATAAAGCTATGTCAACACCACTGTTACATCCTCTCAAACATGGCCCCCAGGGAGTAGCTACACAAAATGAACCAACTTTGTGGTTAGAATTTAATCAGAAAAATTACATTTGATTAAAACTGAATAGCCAAGTTCATTCTATTGATGGGAGTGAAACTAAAAATTGCAAAGTTAACAGTTTATATTCCACTATGAAAACAGGAAAGGGAAATAAAAATGGTCAGTTTTCTCTACAAGAAAACAAAACTGCCTAAACGTAAACAATGACCTGTCAACATCTTGTCGTAACAAGTGGATTTTTGACTCCCGTGTGTGAAGCACAAAAAGGGAGTCTTTGCTGTGTGTGTGTGTGTGTGTGCGCACTGCACAGACCTGATAGTTTTTAGGGTAATATCAGTACATATTAATTAGCTAATTTGCATAATTAATTAATTTTCAGCTTTTGATATTTCAAGTAGTAATCATCACATTTCAATGACACTTGGTACATAGATGTCATAGGACACTGCACAGACCTGACAGTTTTTAGGGTAATACGAGTACATATTAATTACCTAATTTGCATAATTAATTTTCAGCTTTTGATATATCAAGTAGTAATCATCATATTTCAATGAGACTTGCTACATACATCTTCCAGGATTATGCAGACACCTGATTAGTTTTAATTGGATATTAATTACCTAATTTGCATATTGTTCCACCAATTAGTTTTTGGTAAATATTTATGCTTATTAATCACCTAATTAACATAATTAACACTGATATCTCAATTACTGATCATCACATTTGAATAAAATTTGGTACATAAATGCTCTAGGACAATAGACAGGCCTGATTAATTTTGATTAATATTGTTTTGTTCTGTTCTGTTCATATTAGTTACCTGATTTACATAATTAGTTTTCAGCTTTTCCATCAATATCTCATGTACAAGTAATTTTGAATTAATTTTTAATGTGTCTTCAATACTCTCAGCACACGGGAGTTCTTTTTAGGCTTTCTTTGATTCATCATATTTAGAACAGATATAGCATAGTGCACCCGTTACCATGACAAATGTGAATATTGGCACAGCACAACTTATCAAACATATAAAAAAAGCGTAGAAAGGTAAGAGCTAAAACTGTTTCAGATGTATAGGTATATGTATTAATGGGATTATCTATACAGGAGATTATAACCCACATTGCACACAGGAAACTGGATTTTCCTTTGTCTCAGACAGAAGTTGCATGTCCCTGTTTTCTAAGGTCAAGACAACAATAAGTACCCTGTTGATCATGATACATCAATTTAGTATATTGGGAGATGTCTTTATTATAGGGACAAATGACAAAAAGGTTCCAAAACTGACAAAATGGTCACCATTACTGTATTAAATTATAGTTTGGTGACCCCAATTTTTTTCTCGTCAATATGCTTAAATTGGCTTTGAGTACATGAAATTGTGAATAACAAATTTCTACTTATTGTCATAATGATTTTTTTAGATTCAAAAAAAAAAAAAAAGACCACTAAAAATAGCATGTTTTGGCTTGTATTAGCACATTTTACCATTGTTTCCTATGCAAGGATATATCTAAAATTTTTGTTTGGTGACATATAGTGAAAATAAGATATGTAGTGTCAAACAACTTACATTTTGATGTCTATGTAAAGCATTGCTAAAATCAGTTTTTGTGCATAATATCATTTTCTCATAAAACAGATGGTCAGCTAAACAAAAAATACCAAAATCATTAATTGTAGACAGATTTTGAAAAGAAATATTGTCACTGCTATATGCGCTAATAAATGCACACATTTCTCAGAATCTCAGAAGTAGCTTACTAGAAGCCTACCGGTACTCATAAATTAAAAAAAAATAGAATTTATCCAATTTGCAATAAATTGTACTCCAAGGCAATATAAGGATATTGACCTAAAAAAAGTTGGGGGTCACCAGCCTTTTTTTCAAGAAATGGATGGTTGTATTTTAGTGGAAAGTCGCCATTTTGACACAATTATAACACTTTTACCACAGATTCCCATAGCAGAGATATTATGCAATATCTCAAAATCTAGCCTGGTGACATAGGCTGAAAAAAATCACATATTGTTAATGGTGGAGTACTTTTTGTTGTTCTGAATTATTTAAAAAATATGGGTTTTAAAAAGTGTCAAAAAATGCAATTTTTCTTTAACATTGTGTATTATGGAATTGTTCTAAAAATAGCGATTTTCAAGAAATATTAGAACACATTTCTCAAAAAGCATTATTAGTAGGCTTCTACATTTTCTTAACACCCATAGTGATCTTGACAAATTCCATCTAAAATCGTTAGAAATATCTAAAATTGCATACTATATTATTGTATATCAAGTATTTTGCTACACTTTTAATTCAGGGTAATTCCATAGACCACAATGTAAACATGTAACAAATAAGTGTTAATTAGGGAGGACTATTTGAAATATTGTAAGGGGGGCCTTGGAAGTTTGAGGAGGCAATAAATGTTTATTTCCTACTGTATGTTCTGAAATTCTTGTTTTATTTATACAAGCTTATAGTGGCTGGAGACTGGTTAACATGAAAAGATAAACTTTGTTCACCTCAACTCCCCTCTCCACAAAGGATTAGTTGTCATGATATTACTGCAATATTGTATCAGTATTATTTAAGCATTACTGTATGTATCGTATTTAAATCTTTTAATGCAGCTACTATTTTTCCCACTGTAATCTTATATATAGGATGTATCTTCCACTACATTTTCTAGTGTACATACTTGTGTAGGTGTTTGGTCTACCTCAGAACTTGATTCCACCTAAATTTTGTATTTGGCAGCTCTGCATTCAAAAAATTAAGGTAGCTATCAAATCAGTTGAACGAGGTGAACATTAATCAAATGTGTGTGCTTTAGAAATTGGTCAGTTTCATCTTTCCATAATGGAATGTTTTTATAATTAGAATACAGTTATTAGTGTGACCATATTCGGTGGTCTACACAATGTTTTCTGTTCTATTAAAATAAATTCAGCCGGCCTTTCTCATAGTACATTTCATAAGGTACACATTGAAGTAATGAAAGTGAATTTTCTATTTAAATATACTAGTGGCCAACAGTGTAGCTTGTCATTGATTTGAGATGAGGTACTGCCATGTTATTGGTCAGAATGCTGTTGGAATGACACACTAGGAACTATGTAGAAAGGCAAGTACCCAGGTAGCACAGTTTAATTTGAAGCTACATATGACAAGTTCTTAGGTAGATTTGGTGGAGAAGATTGTCGTTTTTCAGTCTTCAAACATCATGAAGTTACTTCTCTAGCATTTGTATAAAAGTAAATGTAATTATATTTAATTGCACATAAATTAATAAACTTGCTGTTAAACCTACACACCATTCTCATCAATCATGGAATGCATTAATTTGTTATCAATATAAAATTTATTACAAATTTTGTAAAAAAAACAATACATTGACACAATGAATTATTGGTACAAGATGTGGTAGGCATAGAACCCACAAGCTTATAGGGTGTTTGCCACACGGATGATGTCAGCTTCACTTGGCCTCGCCATTTCAAGTGAAAAGTACAAATCCCAAAAAATAGGAAGAGGTGATTACAAATAAAAACTTTACTTTCAATATGGAGTTATAAAATAAATAAATAACAAAATTATAGTAGGAAAATGTGTAAATTATATTCTCCCTGAATTCTAACTGTTGAAATGCAACACCAATGTTACAAAGCAAGGTGTACAGTATATGTCAAGTCCTTAATAGTGTTCGTCGACCACTTCAATAGTGATACCATCATCATTGTGTTCTTTTTCAAATCTTGGTGTTTTACTCGTCGCCATAGGAACATCATCCATAACTATACCAGTTGCTTTGTTCATCTTTTTCAGTTTTATCCCAGATTTAAGATTATTGCATTTTGCATCAGATTTTCTTTGGATCCCTTCACCTTTTACTAATAATTTGGAATCAATTAAAGGAATGTGATGATGATATTGTAATCCCTCTATTTTCAAGGTTCCATCTTTTTGATAGTTTGCACTCAGACTTCCTGTATCAATCCCCTGAGGAAGTACAATCCTTCTACTGAGCTCCCTTTCAAAACAGTTTTCATGGCATCTACATTCATGCTTTCCTTCAAGTGACAGTATGTTGCCATGTGTTGTTATTGTAAAATCCTCCGGATCATAGTCTTTCATCATGAGGGATACAACTTCAACTTTTCTTCCTGCTGGTTTGGAACCATGTTGCTGGTGTCCATTTGGTTGGTTTCTGAAGTTATCATTTCTTTGATTTTGTGTCTTTTCATGTCCCATTCTAGATTTCTGCCAAAAAGAAAACAAAAAGTAAAAATTGTGTCATAATACTAAATAACAGATACATAAATAATGTACTAGTATCTATATCCAGGGGGGTGTTGTCATGACAATATGTGAGGCGTGTGTCACCATAACACCCTAAACATGCAGTGAAAATTATGTCTCTTTTACAAATTGACTAGATTTCTTTACTTGTTTTGTATGATATGAGCTGATTTTCCACCACAAACATTTTTTGTTGATTTTCAAGGATTATTTTTAGTGGCACGTGGTATATTTAGACCCCATTACAGATTTTGTGAATCAA